CTGAGCCAGCCATGCTCCCACAGTAAATCACAGCAGGGGGAAAGTCGGGCCTTTCTCGTCAGAACTGAAACCACAGTTTAGTGTTTGAACGAGCTGATTCCTATCAGAGTAGCTTTGCTCAGAACCAACAAAAACCAGACAATCTAGGATTATTTCAATGGGTGAATGGTTACATAAATGGGGGTATGTCTATAAAGTGGAAAACCCACCCACCCACTGCTATCACATCAGTTCTGACTCACAGCTGCCCTGTAGGACAGGAGAGATGTCCATTAGGGTTCCCGGATTGCCATTTTTGTGGGCACAGATTCAGGTCTTTTATTCGGTGGAGGCACGGGCCGACTTTGAACCTCCCTGTTGTTAAGCAGTCCAATGCGGAATCATCGAGGTTCCTGTTAGACACACAGACATGTACCAACAGAAACTAAGCTCACTGCCAGCAAGTCAAGTCTGACCCCTGGGGGCCCTATAGGGCCGAGTAGAACTGCCCTGTGGGTCTCTGAACCTGTAACCCATGACAGGAGGAGAATGCTGGTGCTTTCAAACTGCTGGCTTTTGGGGTTAACAGCCCCGCAGGGAGCCACTGAGCCACCAAGGCTCCTACACATACACAAGAGGATTCAAAAAATGTATGGCAAAAATCCATCACCTTTTCATTCAATTTTTCTACAAACTTTCTGAAGTCCCTTCAAATGTAATGTAGAATTGAGTTTGACATCAAGTACTGTATATACATACTCATATATAAGCCGAGTTTTTTCAGCACATTTTTAATTCACATTTTTGTGTAAGGTGACCAGACATCCCGCTTTTGGCAGGACAGTACCGATTTTTAACAATTTTTCCCACGTCCCACAGCATTTTTTTAAAGTCCCGATTTTTTTGAAAGAATGCAGGACAAGCTAGGGTATACGTTTTTCAGCTGCCATGTGGCTATTTAGCCAGGATAGGAGTTTTATCAATGATGTCCCGCTTTACCAATGTTAAAATCTGGTCACCTTATTTTTGTGGTAAAATTAGGTGCCTTGGCTGATATTCGGGTCGACTCATACTCAAGTATATGCAGTCAATATTACGGGTTAGCTAGAAGCTGGAAGGTAGTGTCCCTACAAGCCTAGGACTTTCTCTAATGATTCATGGTGCACACACAAAGGCAGCCTTTGGTTTTTGTTTTAAAAGATCCAGCTCATCTTTGTTACTTTTCAGCACTAAGCATATTCCTAACTCTAAAATCCTTTAGGATAAAAACATATGAGGGATCATTGAGAAGTTTGTGAGAAAATCCCATTCTCTTTTAATTCAGTTTTTTCACTGAAAGCCCCCTGGTACTTTCCCGAGTAACAGAAATCTAATACTGTGTATCTGGCTTTCAGAAACTCAACGAAGGAGGACCAGTTCTTGTGATATACTAGTTTTTCTAAACCAAGAAACTCAAGTGCTAAGTTGTAAGCATAAGCATGTAACCTTTTTCGCGACCATTTTAAATAATAGGTTCTATGCAACCCACACAGAACAAAGAATGGATTTCAGAAACAGCAGCGCTTAGAGCTTATAGCCCAGGTGACCAAGTGCCCTGACTCCCTCTGTCTACTCTTTAAAAGAAGGCCAGAGGTTTTATGGCCGTGGTTCTGACCCGATCAGGAGACCATCAGAAGTGGGCCGACAGAATGCAGGTCTCATTGCACTTGCAATTCTTTGTGCTCAGAAGGTCCCACCATGGGGCTTCAGAACATCTTTTTTATGATGAGCAGGACATATGAAATACCTGAGAACAACTGAAAAATTCACCCAGGTGTATAACAGAATCTTCTTAAGGATGCTCTAGTCGGACAAAAGCCTGGTCCGATTAGTGTCAGGGGAGTCTACTCTGAGAACAAAGCTCCCTGCCAGCTACATGAATCCCGGGGAAATCTACTGTTGAGAAGGACAGGTGAAAAGTAGGGAAGGAGGTATGCTGTAGC